TAGTTGTAGTTGGACACAATACCTTTATTTTATTTATTTGTTTTTTATGTGGTGCTGAAGATCAAACCCAGCACCTCACACATGCTAGGCAAGTGCTCTACTGCTGAGCCATAACCCCAGCCCCAAAAGTGAGTGTTTTCTTTAGGATATCCTCAATGTTTTCATTTATCCTTCTCACCAGTGATATTATGCATGAGATATTGACCAACACTCTATATCATTGATCTTTATGTCTTTATAATTTTAAAAATTCCTCTCCACCCAGGAAATTATCACTATTTCCCTTAAGGGTCAACTCATAGTTTCCCATACCTTTTAGCAATTAAATTACTGAGCCACAATATGTAATTATATAAGAATTTTATTATTATATATCTCCATTTACCACCACCATCATTGTAAGTTCCTTGAGGTCAGGATTCTTGTCTGTTTAATATCCCATACCCTAATATTTTGGCACTAAGTAAATAATTTTGTATTTCTTTATATATTTATTTATGAGTCTCAAAATAACTTCAAATATAATATTCTTCTTGAATTGTTCCTAATCTTTTTATCCATCACTCCTACCTCACACCTCACTGAGATATGAGTTTTCACAGTACATGTCAGTGGAAATAGGAAAGTAATTTGGGTAATCAACCATATATCCAGGTTTTCTGGGACATCCCCAGTTTATGCCAATTTTCCTGGCATAACTATTTGTAAACACTCCCTTTATTCTCAAAAATATCTCAGCTTGACCTGTAATTCAGATTTTCACCCTCTATAGAAACTGTTTCAGTACTCATAGGGCCACATCTAGCCAATCTTTTTTTTTTAAACCATTTTTTGAGTTCTTTGAGGACAGACTCAGTTCTGGTTTCTCTTCCTAACCCTGGGGCTTGCCAAAGTGTCTATCACTCAGTGACAATTCTTTTGAATGAAAAGACATTCTTGCTATCTTGTCCCAAGAAGTTTGCATATAAAACACACACGTGCACGCACACACACACACACATGACACCTACACATGTTTTCAGAAAGATAGCCAATATTTTTCTAATAATCTTCTTGCTTACAACTTTAAAATGTAAACACAAGTTTATTTCTGCTAAGTTGTGTATTTCTTTTCTATTTTATTAAGTGGCAAACTTTTGCAATTATAAATAGTGATTTTAATAAGGGTTCTCTATCTTTGTGGGATTTTTCCATAAATTTAAATCTCTTATTGTATGTCTTCATAAACATTAGGAAAGTTTTCACACCAATATCAGTGTGTGTTTTGTTTTGCTTCTGGGTACTGGGAATCGAACCCAGGACTTTACTCATGCTAGGCAATCATTCTATCACTGAGCTGCATTCCCATCCCATCAATGCCAAGGTAAATAGAGCTAAATACTGGATAGTAGATAAGGAGAAAAGTATTCAATGTCCCACTAGCTAAGAGAGATGGAATTTGTCTTTTAAAAGTACCTTTCATTTGCCAAAAGTGTACATAGAGTCCTTTAAATAGTTGCTTTCAGTGACTTTGCAGCTTTGAGTAAATTTAAGAGGAAAATCTCTGTCCTTTGTACACTAGAAATGATTATTTTGGGGGGTGTACCAGGACTTGAACTCAGCAGCATTCGACCACTAAGCCACATCCTCAGCCCTATTATGTATTTTATTTAGAAACAGGGTCTCACTGAGTTGCTTAGTACCTCGATTTTGCTGAGGCTGGCTTTGAACTTGTAATCCTCTTGCCTCAGCCTCCCAAACTTCTGGGATTACAGGCATGCTCCACTGCACCTGACCAGAAATTATTTTTAAAAGAATAAAATATCAGATAGCAAATGAAGAACTTATTTGGAAATGAACTTAGTAATAAAGATTTATGGAAAAGGAAGAAGGAAATGGGTGAATGTGTTTGGCTAATTCATTAAAGGGATTTTGTTAAGTCAAAAGTAATAGTGTAATCATTACAGAAGTGATTACATGCTGACTGAATGTCAGTTCTGATGTGTCACTTCTATATAAATATATTTCCAAGTGTGACTCCTAAAGTAATCATGCAGTTATCCATGCCATTGTTATAACTATTGGTGGCTTTTTTTCTTGTAGGCATAAATGGAATTCAGATGTAACTGGAAATTCCCAATATACTGCTTAGGTAGATGACTTGGTTTATAATAATGAGCACAGCTGATGCCTGAGAATCTTGTCAGTACTTACAGGTCTTCCTCTTTTATATAGATTAAGAACCTACAGGGGTTGGGGATATAGCTCAGTTGGTAGAGTGCTTGCCTTACATGCACAAGTCCCTGGGTTCAATCCCCAGCAAAAAAAAAACAAAAAACTTAGTGTTTTGTTCACTTTTCTAAGCACTTTCCTCACTCATCTTATGTAATCCTTACAATTATGTGAGATGGCTATCAATATCCTCATTTCACACACTTGAGAAAACTGATATTCAAAGAGAAGAAAACAGGTTATAATTGAAACCTGCCAAGAAAGATGAGATAGGTGAGAGGAGTTTGTAAATAAAAGTAGTCCATAATTCTCTTCTGTAATTAATATTCTTTTTAAAATGTTCTGGTTTATCATGAAAGTTGTGTTGGTTTTCTCCTTTTTAAGTGATGGCTTCTTGGTCTATTGCCCAGGCTGGCCCCAAACTCCTGGGTTCAAGCAATCCTCCCTCCTCAACCATCAGAGAAGCTGAGACTAAAGAAGTGTACCACTGTAGCCATACAGTTTTCTCCTTTTGTTTACCAATTATAATAAATAAAAGAGGCTGCAGTGGGGTACAGTGGTACATGCTTGTCATTCCAGCTACTTGGGAGGCTGAGGCAAAGGATCCCAAGCTTAAGACCAGTGGGCAATTTAGCAAGACCCTGTCTCAAAATTAACACTTATAAAGGGCTGGGGATGTATCTCAGTGGTAGAGTTCTCCTGGGTTCAATAGCCATTATCTCAAAATAAATGAGCAAATAAATAAATAATACTACATATATATTCGAGAGTATGTGCATACCACCATCTACATCTGGAATATGCCTATTTGTTACCCTTACATACTACTTCAGTTGTATGAAAGCAATTTTAATCATTTTTCAGTCTGTTTAGTTGATGGGATTCCTGATATTTTGCAAAAAGTAATGCTAAATAGGAAATGCTCTTCAGGAGTGGATTTCAGCCTTAGCCAGGGTATGCTGAAGAATCTAAACACTTCTCTCACAGAAAAGAAGAAAAAAGTTTTTCCAAGGAGATACAAACACACACACATGGGCACGCACAACACACACACATGGGCGCGCACAACACACACACATGCGCACACATCCAGAAATACACATACTTTTCACCCTGCTGAAATGCAGTGTTTTTCTTTCTCAAACTTGTAGTGACAAATGAAAACTTTAGCTGTATATTTGTATATGTATATGTGGAAATTACAACATTACTGCCAACACTGATATTTTGTCTAGAATTATTAGAATTGAAGACTATTTTTAATGTAAAGCAAGGCTAATCATTGTAAGCAGAAAAATCAAATGATAGAGAATCTGTAGTTTCTTAGGAAGAAACGTTTCTATTAGATTCTTTTTCAGAAGTTTACTAAAGATGATTGTGGCCTGTGTTTATTTGTAGGGACTGGTAACATCTGAACATACCAAACCAAACAGGCAAACTTTTGCACCATTGCAACCACATTTTACCACAGAGGAATGCCACTGTACATGGATTCCAGGCAGGCTAAAAAGAAAAAGAGTTGATTAGACCTCAGACTATCCACTGAACGGGATGACGGCCACAGCTGCAGTGGAGACACCAAAAATGGAGAAGAGTGCCTCCAAGGAAGAGAAGCAGCATCCAAAGCAGGACAGTACCGAGCAGGGCAATAATGATTCTGAAGAGTGGATGAGCTCTGAGAGTGACCCTGAACAGTTGAGCCTTAAGAGCAGCAACAACAGCAGCTGCCAACCTGGAGATGGTCAGCTGAAGAGAAAGGAGATGCCCTCCAAGCCACACCGCCAGCTCTGTCGATCACCCTGCCTGGATCGTCCAAGCTTCTCCCAGAGCAGCATTTTACAGGACGGTAAGCTCGACATAGAGAAGGAATATCAAGCCAAGATGGACTTTGCTCTAAAGCTGGGCTATGCTGAGGAACAGATTCAATCAGTACTGAATAAACTGGGTCCAGAATCACTTATAAATGATGTATTGGCAGAGCTTGTCAGACTTGGGAACAAAGGTGACTCAGAAGGGCAGGTCAACTTGAGTCTGTTAGTGCCCCGTGGGCCTGGCTCCAGAGAGATTGCAAGCCCTGAATTGTCTCTTGAAGATGAAATAGACAATAGTGACAATTTGAGGCCAATTGTCATTGATGGAAGTAATGTGGCTATGAGGTAAGACTAGTGATTTTTTTCTCTCTTAAAAAAAACTGTCCTAAGCTCATATAAATTGTATTCCTTTGAAAAGAAGCCCTTAGTTGTTGTCTGTGTCTTGTAGACAAGAGTCTATCATGATGCTGCCCTTGCCTTTTCTCTTTCCTTTGAAATTGCTGCAAATTTATTTTCAGGTGTTTTGAAATCAGCTCTGATAATCAGTGATGCTTCAGAGGAGTCATAGCCCTTTAGCTCTTGGGGTCTGCTGTCACATCCTTACTTAGCAAGACTAATCATCCTGAAATGCTGTCTTCATAATTTCACTTAGAGACTTACTTACTTACTTTCAGCAATGCTCAATTGCTCTTCTGCCAATTTTGGATCCCCTTGTCTGAATCTGAGACTCCTTATGATCTGACCTTTTCCTCTTCCCATTTGAACACACTTATAATACTTATTGCATTTGTATCATCCTTTTTAATGGTCTCCATATAAATTATGCTGATTTCTAGTCCCTTTCCTGATATTCTTATCATTTCCCAACCTAAAAATGACCTCCTTACCTTCATACCCTTCAAGTTAAACCATCTTCACAAAGGTTTTCCTGATTTTTATGATCTCATCAATTATCTCTGAGCTACAATTCCTCCAGTACACTGAAGAATAGACCCAAAAGATGTCCAAAACTTAATCCTTAGAACCTATGAAAACATTATCTTATGTGAGAAAAGGGACTTTGCAGTTACATTTGTGTTAGGATCTTGAGAGAAGGAGATCAATCATCATCAAGGTGAATCAATGTAAGCAGAAGAGGTCTTTATTAGAGGGAGCAGCAGGATAAGAATAAGTAATAGGAGATGCAATGGAGGAAATAAAAATCAATAGTATAAGAAAGGGGCCAGTAACCAAGGAATGTACATGGCCACTAGGAGCTGAAAAAGACAAGGAGATAGATTCTCCTCTGAGGCCTACAGAAAGAATGCAGCCTTGTCAACATCTTGATTTTAAACTTCTAACCTCTTGAACTATAAGAGAACAACCAGTATTATTTTAAGCCACTAAGTGCTAAATACTAGCAGCAATGAGATACTAATATAGTACCAAAAGTGCCTATATATGTTATTCTGTACTCTTATGTGATTTTTTTATTTCATGTCAGAGAGCCTCACTAATCCCTTCTATTTCCCCAGTGAATTGTCATCCAACCTTGGCTTAAAATGCCCAGTGATCAGGATCCTACTACCCATCAGGTCCATCATTGCTTGATGGATTCACTTGCATTCCTTAAATCATACAAAACCAGAACAAAATAAAAGTGTCAGTCTGGAAAGTTTTAAATTATATTACCCCATTGTCTTTGAGGATGTCAGTCTGGAAAGTTTTAAATCATATTATCCCATTGTATTTGAGGGCAAGGAACTTGCTTTATGCATCCCTTATTTTTCCTACAACATGTGGCCCAGTATCGGCTGCTCCTAACGAGGTACAAGAAGTAGAGGTAGAAGTTAAGTCTTAAGAATCATACCATTGGGCTGGGGATGTGGCTCAAGCAGTAGTGCGCTCGCCTGGCATGCGTGTGGCCTGGGTTCGATCCTCAGCACCACATACCAACAAAGATGTTGTGTCCCTCGATAACTAAAAAATAAATATTAAAATTCTCTCTCTCTCTCTCCCTCTCTCACTCTCTCTTAAAAAAAAAAAAGGAATCATACCATTGGCTGGCATGGTGGCACATGTCTGTAATCCCAGCAGCTCAGGAGGCAGAGGCAGAAGGATTATGAGTTCAAAGCCAGCTTCAGCAATTTAGTTATGCCCTAAACAATTTAGCGAGAGCCTGTATCAAAAATTAAAAAATAAAAAAAGGCTGGGGATGTTGCCCAGTGTTAAGACCCTGGGTTCAATCCCCAGTACTGAACAAAAAAAGGAACCATACCATTGCTGTATAGAGGAATAGCTTGGCAGGCTATCTGGAAGTACATTTTAGTATATAGTCATGTTTAATCCACATAGCAACTTTATTCTACAGATTTGAAAACTGAAACTAAAAAGTTTAAATGACCTCTCTTAATGTACATAACTAATAACTAGCAAAGTAATTACTATAACTTAAGACTTAAGGCTTTGAATGAATGAAAGACTGAGATTTATGAATATCTATTTTATGCCAGGTCTTTTTTTAAAAGAGAGAGAGAGAGAATTTTTAATATTTATTTTTTATTTTTTGGTGGACACAACATCTTTGTTTGTATGTGGTGCTGAGGATCAAACCCGGGCCACACGCATGCCAGGTGAGCGCGCTACCACTTGAGCCACATCCCCAGCCCTATACCAGGTCTTTTTGCATATGTAATTTAATCCTCACTGAAAATCCCACCACAATGGACTAATTGATTTCATTTTTGGAGGTGAGGAGGCTCGGGGTTTAGAAAGATTAAATAACTGTCCAAGGTTATATAGGTAATAAGTATCAAAGCTTAGAATCTGACTCTAATCCTCTTTTGATACAGCATCATGCAGTATTGTGTGGCCATTAATGTTATTAAGAATATTTGGCCTCTTATATGTAATTTTGTATAGCAATGAGGCTCTCCCTTCATTTCCATGCAATTTCCCTTTTCTCTCCCTTTCCCTCCCATCTCATGTGTTGTGAACAACCAATAAAAAAAAATTATTAAAAAAAAGAATATTTGGCATTTCTACTAGTAGCAGAGAATACATTTACAGATTTTCTAATTTTTAAATCCTGATGGCATCAACACAGGTGTATAAAGCAGACAAAACATCATCCCTGTTTTAATGAGGGGAAACCAGAAACATAGTAACGAGAAAGCTAAATGACCCAAATACAGCACTACAGCAATCAAAATGATGCAGTGGATCAATTAAAAGCAGAGGATGATTTTTTTACTCAAAAGTGAAAAAAAAAAGAAGTATCTCAGCTCTTCTCCTAGTAGTCATAAGCTAGAGTGATTCTTAAGGTTAATGGGTATATGACCTGCCCAACTCAATCTCTACCCACACCAGACCACCCAGAACACCAGAGACTGGGCCTATTTCCCAAAACCTGCCCTTCTTAATGGGTTTTGTGTTTTAGAGTTGGAGATAAAAAGAAACCAGGTTTCTTAGGGATTTTGACTTCATGGTAATATAAGATTTTCCTTGTTCAATGATCCCTGAGGATGAAGGACATTCTATAGTTACTTTGTTTGGAAAGAATAGTGAAGAGATTAATTACATAGGTAATTAGTTTGAACATATCTAGTCTGTGCCGGTAGCAAATTATGCCTTGATGTGTTGCCTTGCTAAATTAAAGGTACTTCACATGAGTTTAATAAAGCAAAAAAAAAAATTACTACTCAACTTTACTTTAATAGCATATTAAGACAGTACATAGTGGACCACATGATTACTTTAGTTGCCAACTATGAGCTGGGCATCATGGCACATACTGAATTCCCAGCTACCTAGGAGGCTAAGGCTGGAAGATCAAAAATTCAAGGCCAACCTGGGAATTAGTAAGACCCTGTCTCAAAATAATTTTTTTTAAAAAAGAGCCAGTGATGTAGCTCATTGATGGAATGCTTGCCTCTCATGTGTGAGACCCACAACTCAATAATCTGTACTAGGAAAAAAGAAGTGTTGCCAAATCTGTCCTTGTTAGTGTCTTTCTTATCTGGCCAGGTTACTTACCTACAGATCCCACTTATTCTCCAATCACATTTCACATGGTCAAAGTTCAGTGCTATAATCCACTTATTAATTCAGTACTGTTCTTAATCTAGTTTTCCCCATTAGCTGGCTATAGCTTTACCGTGAGATTTGTATTTCTTATACAAATTACATGTTAACATCTGTTGTTCCTCAGCATGTTGGATAAGCCTATGTTAAAATTATGATACTTTGTTTGCCATTGATGGCATTTGTTTAACATTTGAAATGGTGTACCTGTGATTCACATACTGTGAATATGCTAAGATATGTGCTAAGATCCTAAAGGGTACATTCATTCTGAAAGCTGTTTCCTTTGGGAGGAAAAATCCAATTCAGAGGAATTGGACTTTGAAATGTAAATGGCACTAGATTCTTTGTTAAGTCTGAAAGAAGCTCAAATATTTGAACCCTACCAAAAAATTGCAAGGGAGAAGCCAGCTATGCAGAATTTTGCTTGATAACCTGGATCATGATATGTTCCTAAAGCAGTTTACAAGAAAAAGTGAGGAGTAGTTTCACCAAGTTTCAAGTTTCACTGTGACTGCAGGTTCTGAGTTTTTTAGCCTTTTTAAATTGCAAAATGACCTTTTATATGTTTGGGCAAAAATGGGTTATCTTGCAAGCATTACTTTATTGCTTTCTTTTAAAAAATAAATCCATTCCTTAAACATTCATTGGGCATTAAACTTTGCATACTGAACTCTTTTGTAGGTCTTCCTTGCTACTTTGATTAATATTACCTTCTGATTCTTACTGGGCATTTCACAGTATGTATCATGGAATGCTCCAATGGCATAATTTTTAACAATTCTCAGTATGTAAAGAAATTGATATAAAAATCAAATATATCAAAATACTGGCAGTGTTGTTTCTGGGTGGTAGTAAACAGTTGGATCTTCAGGGTTTTCTTTATATTTTATACATTTTCCACATTCTATGCCATAAGCATATACATTTCTAATGATAAAATATTTAAAACAAAGAATTTGGAAGTATAAAATATAAAGTTGTAGTATTCAAGAAAAAAAGTTATTCTTGTATTTATTATTTCTGGACCTAAACAATGTTTAAAACAAGATTATTGTACTGCAAAGCCAAACAAAATGAAATTTCATCCCCTTCCTCTAAATTCCCTTTCTAATGATACTTTTGGTGATTTTCCCAAGTTCTGGTTTTTATTTTTCTTCCAGTACTGGGAATTGAACCCCATGCTTTGCACATGCTAGGCAAATGTTCTGCTACTGAGCTACATCCCCAGCTCTTTTTAAAAATCAATTCCCTGTCTTTTTATTAGTTCCTTTTAGTTATGCATAATATTGGGGGAACCATGAAATGAATCTGACCAAACTTTACTATGCACATATATGAAAATATCACAGTGAATGTCACTTTTATGCAAACCATAATGTACTAATTTAAAAAATACTACAAATAGATAGAATAAATATCAGTAGCGAGGAGAGAAAGGGAAAGTACTAGGGATTGATGTGGAGCAAATTATATTCCATCCTCGGGCAATGAATGTTGAAATGAACTCAGCTCTTTTTTAAAATTTTATTGTGAGACAGAGTCTTGCTAAATTGCCCAGATTAGCCTTGAACTTTTAATCTCCCTGCCTCTGCCCCAGTAGCTGGGATGACAGGTGTGCAAATTCACACATGGCTCCTTTGTTATTCTTTATATTTACCATCACTATAGTGGGGAAAACTCACAAGTGGACATCTTCCCTATCTGTCTGTTTCATGTTGGATTTATCCAATATTAACCCTGTAAATGCTGGGATTTCTCATTAAACAATTTTTAGAAGCAATCAATGGTAGCTGTTTCCAAAGCTGCCTTGGAGTGTATTAGCAGTTAAATGTACCCCCATTTTTCCTTAAGTATTTTTGACTTTGAGTAGAGTAATATAATTGCTCTGTGGTAGTCACTGAGTACTTTTAAGATGGCTAACATATGCTTAGAAATGTTAACCAAATCAGTTAATAAATTTTTGCAATGTGCCAAAAAAGTGATAAAATAATGGGAAGTCTTGCAGTGCATGTATTCATGAGGCTCATGAGATTATATGTGAATTCACCCAAAGGGAAAAATATGTGTAATTAGAGCTAATTTCTGTTGAAGCTGAGTAAGAGTGCCAGTGAGAAAGAGAAGAATCTAACATGAGAGGACCCATCATATTGTCTTTTTAAAAAAATAATGTTGATACTAGTCTCTAGATTTTTAACATTTATTTAGTTGTAGATGAACACACAATATCTTTATTTTTATGTGTTGCTGAGGATCAAACCCAGTGCCTCACACATGCAAGGCAAGTGCTTTACCACTGAGCTACAGCCCCAGCCCCGCCCCCATCATATTGTCTTAATGTGCCTACCAACAAAACAATTCTTGTCTCTTGATTGGTCTTGTTTAACAAACAACATCCACTTGATTTTGATAGAATTGGTGCTTGTATGCCAATTTGTTTTTCCACTGGAGCATGTTAGTTAACTATAATTTAGCGTGATTTATGTATATGTTAGAGCACCTGATACCCTGCTAAGGGATCATCATTTTTACAGCCAAACTAGACACAAAACTGGTACAGAATTTTTGAGTTTTGAAGATGGTGGCAATAGATACTATGCATCTTTTCCTTATTTTTCTGCTAATTTTCCTTCTTCCAATTTCCATTCAGATGAATTCTGTGTGGCCTTTTAAATTTGAACAATGTTTATTCCTATAAGTAATTGTGATAGAATTTCATCTCTTATTATATCATTTCTGGTTATAAAAGTGTGCTTGGTTTTTTGAGGAAATTTTAGAATTAGGGAAAGAAAATAAGTCACTAATAAACATCTAACACATAATGACAATTAATGTTTTATGTATCTCTTTCTAGTATTTTTCTAAGTTTATATATGGATTTTTTCTGCAAAATTGGTATTACAAAATGGGCACTGTGGCACTTGTCTATAGACCTGACTACTCAGGAGCCTAAGACAGGAAGATTGCTTGAGCCCTGGAGTTCAAGGCCAACCTATGCAACACAGCAAGACACCATCTCAAAAAAAAAAAAAAAATTAAGACCATACTCACATGTAATCTCAACGCCATATATCCTTTCTTTTTTTATAGAAGTTTGTTTTTCTTATACCTTAAATTTTTCAAAAATATGATTTTTAGTGCTTTACATTTAATTAAGCGAATATAAGTGATAAACATTTTCTGTCAATATTTATGTATGTATCTTTTTTTGTCATGTTATTTTTAAGCTTAATAACTCATCTCCCAACTAATCCTCCATGTAACCCTCTGGTAAAGCCTCCACTATTTTCCCATCTGTTGTGAATATCTGAATCTTTGGGAAAAGTTGGCAGTAGAAATAGAAAATAAAAACAATAATAGGCAATGGTCACCAAGGCTACTACAGGAGTTGTTATTAACCATCTGTGGCCTTCTGTGAAGTTTATAATGTGGAAATATTTGTGACAATTTAATTTTTAAAAGTTTGATTTGCTCTTTTAAAAATACATTCTTTGGGGCTGGGGTTGTGGCTCAGTGGTAGAGTGCTCACCTAGCCCATGTGAGGCACTGGGTTTGATCCTCAGCAGCACATAAAAATAAATAAAGTCATTGTATCCATATACAGCTAAAAAATATTTTAAAAAATACATTCTTTGGACTATAATGCTAATCCCAGCAATTTAGGGGACTGAGACAGAAGGATCACAAGTTCAATGCACTTTCTCAAAGTAAAAAATAAATTAAAAAGGTCTGGGGGTATAGCTTAGTGGCAAAGCTCAGTTGTAACATCCTCAGTACCCAAAAATTGTTGTGAAACAAAAAAATATAATTTTGGGCATCATCAAGGAATAAAAAATATGTGTTGTTAATCCCTTGATGTTAATCCCTTGGGCTTTTCAGTGTTTTTTTGTTTGTTTGTTTGTTTTTGTTTTTTGTTTGTTTGGGGGTTTTGTTTTTATTTTTTGTTTTTCCTATCTGTTGTTAATCCTCTTTCCTCTTATTCTCTATTTTTTCTAAAGTCATGGGAATAAAGAAGAGTTCTCCTGTAGAGGAATACAACTTGCTGTGGATTGGTTTCTAGATAAAGGCCACAAGGATATCACTGTATTTGTGCCTGCTTGGAGAAAGGAGCAATCCCGCCCTGATGCACCAATTACAGGTATTATTTCAAATAAGAAATTTCTTGTCATCTATAGGCAAAGCTAGCAAGAGAGTTTAGAGAGAGGCTGATGGTCCCAATTTAGATTAATATTTTTCTAAGTTGTTAAGTATACTTTAAATGTCTCTTCTTAAGTATATTTCTTAAATGCTCACTAGATTTATTTATATTTTTCATTTCTTGCAGTACTAGGGATCAAACCCAGAGCCGCACATATGCTAGGCAAGTGCTCTACCACTGATCCACATTCCCACCCTTTAAGGGTAGTTTTGATAAAGTGATTCATATAAAACCATCATTGTTTAGTGGCATTTAGTAGTTAGAGATAACTTCAATTCAGCAAACAATAAAGCTCATAGTTGAAAAACAAGAGTGCCTTTCTATTTGATTGTAGACTTAAGACTACAGAGGTATGAATCTGATTATAAACATGACTGAAAGTTTCAAAAAACTAAAGAAACCATGAGAGACAATGGATCTCATACTGTAGCAGAGTAGTGATTATGGGATTGCAAAGTAGGAGGTAGAAAGTCCCAAGACAGAACCAACTTATCCATGAAGCATAGTAAGCTGAAAGCCTAGGGCTGATGATATTTCTAAAGTTCCACAAAAATATTTTTATTTTGACATCAAAAGAAAAAAATGAATATGATATTGGATGTATAATAATATAATTGAATTATAGTTGACTTTATACCAATGTAGTTCTAAGATTAAATTTTGGGGCTGGGGATGTAGCTCAGTGGTAGAGTGCTTGCCTAGCATGCACAAGGCCCTGGGATCAATCCCCAGTACCAACAAAAATTTAAAATAAACTGAAATTTTTAATATTTCTTTATGGAGAATGGAGTTCATGAAGGCAAAAGTGCCCAAGGTCTTCAAAAGTATAAATGTAGTCTTCTTAATGGCAGTAAAGTGTTACTATGTTCATTTACAATGATAAATGCAGTCAAAAATTCCTTACAGAATTTGAGAGCATATAGACCCCAGTCCACTGAGCATTAGGTCTTGCCCATTGTGCCTAATGAGAAATTCCAGTGAATGGCTGTCTGATCTGTGTGTGGAGCTGTCTGCTATCTGCTGAACAGGCTTCCAAGCCTCAGTCTGAGATCATATACTGGCCCTACTCAAGCCCAACTAAAAAGCTTTCTCTCCTCAGCAATCAAAATTCCAAAAACAAAGGGGGTCAGTACTCAAATCCTATAGCCTGATTTTTCACCTGAGTTTTGTCCTTCCTTCAAGCAGAAGCCAAAAATGTAAGTCCTTAGGATTGATGCTTTACTTTCCTCCTGACAGACATATCCTCAACTACTGCCCTGTTTTCTTCATCAGCCAAAAAACTAGTGCTGGGGTAGGGGGTGTAGCTTGATAGTAGAGTACTTGCCTAGAGGTTTGAGGACGAGGGTTTGATTTCCAGAAACACACACACACACACACTCACACACACACAATAGAGGCTGATCCTTCAGCTAAAGTGCAAAATGCTAGGATAGCCAAGTGCAGTAGCACATGCCTGTAATCCCAGCAACTTGGGAGGCTGAGGCAGGAAGATCCCAAGTTGAAGTACAGCTGCAGAAACTTACCAAGGTCCTGTCTCAAAATAAAAAGTAGGAAAGGACTGGGGATGTTGCTCAGTGGTAGAAGCAACCCTGGGTTCAATCCCCAGTATGACAAAAAAAAAAAAAGAAAGAAAGAAGAATGTAGGATATCAATCAGTGTTACTACTCATTCTTCATGGTAGTTTTAAAAAATTAAATGTGACTGAATCCAGTTCCTTCATTCTATCTGAAGGAGGTGACTTTATCTAAGGTCACAATTCAATTTTGATATCATGGCCAGAAATTGAGCCCACTTGCTGTCTTAAGGATAAATAGCGTATTCATCTAACTCTTTTATTTGTAATTGTAATATGGGGATAATGGTGTTAAGTTCCAAACATGATTTCTATTCTGTGGCATATAATCATATTTCAACAGATCAAGATATTCTACGTAAACTGGAGAAGGAAAAGATTCTTGTCTTCACACCATCCCGAAGGGTCCAGGGCAGAAGGGTTGTCTGCTATGATGACCGGTTCATAGTCAAATTGGCTTTTGATTCTGACGGCATCATTGTATCCAATGATAACTACAGAGACCTTCAAGTTGAAAAGCCAGAATGGAAGAAGTTTATAGAGGAGCGGTTGCTGATGTATTCTTTTGTGAATGACAAGTGCGTTTTGTTCCAATAGGCTCTGAATAGCCTATATCCAAGTTACTAGTAGGAACAGATTTCATTTCATTTCAATAAACATTTATTGAACACTTATTGTGTACCATGCATGATGCTGGTTGCCATGGAGATAAAAGACTAAATGAAAAACAGGACTCCCACCCAAGGGGCTCAAAGTATAGTGGAAAAGACAAAGAAAAAGGCCACCCAATGTGTTGTGATAAGCACTACAGTAAACTTTTATTTTTAATTTGTCCATGTGCAATGATAAGAGAAAGCTTCCTAGGGAAGATAACATTTGAAATGAAGTTTACAGATAGAGGAGGGAGGGCTGCTGGACACAACAGATGTAGAGAACAATATGAATAAAGCTATGAATGAGTGAACAAGGGTGGCATGTAGGGGGAACCCAGCAGATATGCCAGTATGGTTGAAACATATAATCCATGGAAGAATGATGCATAGGGAAAAATTATCCTTTCTATGTGATCCAGTAGGAATGAAAGGCAGAAATGCTGGGTTAACAAAAGATAGGCTTGAGGCAGGAAGGACAGTTAGAAGGCTGTCATAATAGAACAGAGAAGAGGTAATGAAGGTCTGAAATTCCCATAAGAGGTAGCATAGGGACAGAAGGAAAAACATTCACCCATTGCTTGCTTGCTTTCAGATTTATGCCTCCAGATGATCCTTTAGGACGTCATGGACCAAGCCTTGAAAATTTCTTAAGAAAGAGACCTGTCGTTCCCGAGCATAAGAAGCAACCATGTCCTTATGGTGAGTACCTATGTGCAGAACTGAGCTCTGTTCTAAGGGAAACATAAGAACTCTATGAATACTTTTCTTTTCCAGATTTCCCTTTCAAATGGGAAATCTTGGCTTGTCCATTTTCTGTGAGATAAAGTTCTTGTCTTCTTGTACTCTCAGTTAAGCATTTAAAGAAAAACCTTAGAAACTGCTTGAGGAAAAGGAAACCAGAAATGAAGGGAAAACTAGTTGCCACTCATTAAAATAACACATGTGTTTTAGTGTTTAAGGACCAAACATTGTTGTGGAGAGCAGAGAAATGCAGAAACCTACCTGACTTCCTGAATCAGAAAAGGCAATACCAAATTGGGTTTGGCCCAAGAAGAACATATCTCTCAGGCAGGTTACTGAACCTTCTGTCAATTAGGAAAACCCTGTTCTTCTGATCTGTGCTTTCCAGTTGCCAAAAACTTTATTTTCATTGGTTTTTCTATTTTTTAGTACAGTTTTCTACAGTATATTTGTACTTTACCCAAGTCCCTCTGATACAAAGTATATGAGCCTAACTGTTAACATGGCCTGCTTGGTCTGAGATTATTTTTGATGTTTTCTCTTTGTTTGGGGGGTGAGCATTTTGTTTTTTTCCTCAACATTTAAATCACAGAGTATTTCCACACCCTGTAACTCTTCATTACAATGATCTTATAATAGAGACATAATTATGAAGCTTGTTTACAGAAGAGGAAAATGAGGCTCAGGGGGAAAGTATCATTCACTAAGGTCACACGGCCCAGTGAGGAATATGGCTATAATTGAAACTTGGGTTCTACTAGCCTCTAATCCTGTGTTCTTTGTACTGTATCATACTGCCTTCCTTTACTCTAGGCTGCCTCAGCATGCAGATTATCCCTAGGCCAAGTTGCACATTACCAGAAATGTAAGACTATTCAACTGCTCAGCTGATTCCTCCCCAGCTTCTCACTTGCTCCCTCTCATTTCAGTGTGTGATGCTCCTTGGTGTTGTCTCTCATCTTTGTGGACAGTTAATTTTCTGCCTTAACCTCAAAGTGTCTGATCATAACCTGGGTGACCAGTTTATTACAACAGTTTCTGGCACAGAGGGTTACACCACTATGAGAGAGAGTCTTAACCCAAGGCATTATTTTTCAGGCAAAAAATGCACCTACGGCCACAAGTGCAAATACTACCATCCGGAGCGGGCCAACCAACCCCAGCGTTCGGTGGCTGATGAGCTCCGCATCAGTGCCAAACTATCCACAGTGAAAACCATGAGCGAAGGCACCCTAGCCAAGTGTGGTACAGGGATGTCTAGCGCCAAAGGTGAGATAACCTCAGAGGTCAAACGTGTGGCCCCCAAGCGCCAATCAGATCCCAGCATCCGGTCTGTGGCTGTGGAGCCTGAGGAATGGCTGTCCATTGCCCGTAAGCCTGAGGCCAGCTCTGTCCCCTCACTTGTGACCGCCCTAAGTGTTCCCACAATCCCACCCCCCAAAAGCCATGCAGTGGGTGCACTCAACACCCGTTCGGCCAGCAGCCCAGTGCCAGGATCCTCTCATTTCCCCCACCAGAAGGCCTCATTGGAGCACATGGCCAGCATGCAGTACCCCCCTATCCTGGTTACCAACAGCCATGGGACCCCTATTAACTATGCTGAGCAATACCCAAAGTTTGAGTCCATGGGGGACCATGGCTACTATTCGATGTTAGGCGACTTCTCCAAACTGAACATCAACAGCATGCACAATCGAGAGTACTACATGGCTGAAGCAGACCGGGGGATGTATGCTCGGAATCCCAATCTCTGTCCTGACAGCCGCATGAGCCATACCAGGAACGACAACTATTCCTCTTACAACAACCTGTACTTGGCTGTAGCTGATGCCCATCCTGAAGGCAGTTTGAAGCTGCACCGCTCAGCATCTCAGAACCGTCTTCAGCCTTTTTCTCATGGTTACCATGAAGCCTTAACGAGAGTGCAGAGCTATGGCCCAGAGGATTCCAAGCAAGCCCCCCACAAGCAATCAGTTCCCCACTTAGCTCTGCATGCCCAGCTCCCAGCACCTGGAGCACGATCCAGCTGTCCTGGAGACTATCCCATGCCTCCCAATATCCATCCTGGGGCAACTTCACAGTCAGGCCGTGCCCTGGTGATGACACGGATGGACAGCATTTCTGATTCTCGCCTCTATGAGAGCAACCCCATGAGGCAAAGACGACCTCCTCTGTGCCGTGAACAGCATGCCAGCTGGGACCCGCTGCCCTGTGCAACTGACTCCTATGGCTATCACTCCTATCCCTTAAGTAACAGCCTCATGCAACCATGTTATGAGCCAGTCATGGTACGGAGCGTGCCTGAAAAGATGGAGCAGCTTTGGAGGAATCCTTGGGTTGGAATGTGCAATGATTCCAGGGAGCATATGATCCCAGAGCACCAATTTCAGACCTACAAAAACCTCTGCAATATTTTCCCTTCTAACATCGTTCTTGCAGTGATGGAGAAGAATCCCCATACAGCAGATGCCCAGCAACTGGCAGCCTTGATTGTTGCCAAGCTTAGGGCTGCACGTTGACATGACAAAGGACTTGTTCCTTTATACACATATGAATATTAATGCTAATAATACACTAATACTATAATCATAGTAACTAATAATTTGCATTGCGCTTTAAAAGTTAGGAGTGTTTACATCATCTAAGCGCATAACGACCCTGTGAGTTAGGTTTTACTATAGAGAAGGCAGCTGAAACTCAGTGAGATTAAGTGACCTACCAAGGTCATGCTGCTAGCAAATGACCAAGTCAAGACACACACCCAAGTCCTTTGACTCCAAGTCCCCTGTCCTTTGCACTGCACCATGCAGGTAATGGAGGACAAAACCCAAGGGGAGAGGCCTAAATGCAAGAAGCCCCAAGGGATTCCATTACCAGTGTTTTCAAAGTACGGATAATATATCCAATTTGAAGAGCAAAAGCATCAGGATCAGATCATATGTTGAATTAACCTTTTATGTTTTTTAAATAGAAACATTTAAAGATATTTAAAAGTAAACACATACTTTATTGCATGGATATTTGCTCATTCACTCTTTATTAATGAAATTAAAAGGTCACATTGAATCTTCTAGAGCTATATTTAAAGCGTACTATTAGCAATTATATTGCATGTATGAATGTATATATTTGATTTTTGATGTGTGTATGTGTGTATCTCTGGTATAAATTTTTATATAGTGATGAGAAGGTAGACTGTACATAGTCCTTAGTCTACAGCTGTATAGATCATGAATCTGACTTGATGATTTTGTCATGTTTCATAGTTTAAACTAGATTGAAAAGTAAAATTAAATGCCAATATTTGAACATTGCTTTCTTAGGCACCAGAGTGAACCAGCTATATTTCCTTTGCACTTTTTACTTGCCAATGTTTATTAACAATTCTTAACTTCCAAGTCTCTTCGCCTCAACAAATTAGGGGACAGGTTGCAGCCTTCTGCAGAAGAGATATTGGATAAGCTCATGTTCCACACATAGTATATGTGTACTACACAAGCGCAGAAGAGTCTGACCAGAACTAAGGGACTTACTTCCAGAGTCCACTCCCCTTATCCCAGGAGAGATGGCCAAACCCATGTGGCATTAAACGATGAATACAAAAGCTTCACACAAGGAGGGACTAATGGATGCTTTTTGGACTTCTGACCTATGCAGTATTCAACATCACAGGATAAAATGTAATGGAAGACAGTGCATAGCCATGTAATCCACTTTCTCCTGCTGTTCACCCTTTGGGCAATAAGGTCAATCATTGGTGGAGCAGAATTTCTTTAGGAAACAAACCAGGGGATTTTCTAAGTGGAAAAAGACAGCTTTTAAAGGGGATGCTGCATTTTTGCTAATTGCTGGCTCAGTTATGCACTTCAAATCCATGCAAAGAGGGTGCACTTGCCATTAGATAATTCTTAGATGCATCACTAAAGAAGATGACTTTGGGGTTGGGTGGCACCATTTGCGCAATTTGTATCTTGCTCAGGGTGGGAACCTTTGTAGCTAAATGCCTCTAGAAGAGGTGTTTATTGGTTTTTTTTAAGCTGCACTAAATGAACCCCCTTTTTGAATCCACTGTATATTTTAACATTTTGAACCATGACCAGCTCACTATTTCTTGAGCTGGAAATTGCTAACTTCTATGGTCGTTTTTTCATGAAAGTTGAGAAGGCCTGGCCTTGGCCTTTTGTTTCTTCATGAGAAGGTGTGACACTGCCTATAAATGTTTCTTACTGTGAAACACTCCGAATGTGAGGCTGTAGTCAGGGTTGTTTCTGGTAGTTTGACAATGGCTTGCATGCTGCTTTCTGTCTCTGTCCAAGTTGATCAACACTGCATCTTAACCAATGCTTTATTCACTTAACCACAGCTTCACATTCATCTCTTACCCTCTAATCTTCCCATCCCCCAGCATACTGATTAAATGTAAAAGTATTTTTCAATCAGATAGGTCCCCAGAGAGTGACAGTTGCCACTGCAGACCTTGCTATTTCATACACCACCACTTCATACCTTCAACTTCTTGGACCTTCTAAATCTACCCCATGTCTAAATCAGGGTATTTGACAATCTCAGATTATCGCAATGCCTTTGTGCTAGTTCATCTTCCTACCAAAAATCATCAATGGCACTGCAGTATCCACTAGCTGCACAATTGACAGGGAAGCACAAGATTAATCTTGTCAGCTGCAATTCATCTTGAACATGTTCATATTTAGTACTCAAAATAATTGTAAGCTCCTCCCAATACAGGAAATATTTTTAAGGAAGCATATGTATTTCTTATTTCCTAAAAACAATTGTCATTTTTCTCCTTTCATAAAATGTGTATGAACCAAAGTGGCTAGGAGCAATGCCTCAAAAAACCAGAAATGACCTTTTGTTGATACAAATTGTATCTCTTTTTTTTCCTGACTGTATAGAAACAAATGTACAAAACTCATCTTAAACTAGGTTTGGTACTGAATTTTCACCGTGATATCTGTGGCACTGTGTGTCACAGGGAAGTAACCCAGGGGTCGTGAGGGAGCTTTTATTTCCAAAGGGCAGTAGTAGTTTATAGACAAAGACAATTTTTCAAGGCCTCTTTATTATTAGGTGCACAGCTATTGTGTGTCCAATTTCAAGCATTATATTGCATAAGTTCTCTTTAGGCTATTTAATGTGTCCTTGAAAAGGGAATTTTGTGTAAAAAGTGTCAATGTTAGTGAATCATCTGCAAGAATCTATAATGGAGCTGTACAACTATGAATGCGCAAATCCAAGCTTGGCTCTTAGTTAAATTATAGTAGAGTGACATTTTCTTTATATTGGAGGTCTGCATACTTCTTGACATTTCCATTTCTGTCTATAATTATAAAAACAGCAAATAACAAAGAGCATTGGGACCCCCTCGGCTCCCTTGATGATAACAGCCTCTTTCATGGGGCTAAGCATGTGTCCTTCAGGATACTTACCTCCAAGCACTTAGCAGGGGTTACTGCACAGTGTTTTGTGTGATTTTCAAGAAACAGTATATTTTGCAAGAGGTGCTTTGTAATTTAAATTCTCTCACTGATTTTTCTGACCTCATAGCAAGTCTGTGCCTGTTCAGGCCTTAGATTTTTGTAGATTCTGTGACTTTTTTTTTTTCCTTTTGTGACTTTGTTGTTGTTTTCATTTTGACCTTAGGACAAATGTGACCCTGGAGTAGCATGGTCAATTCAGGGTACCCTTTCTATAAGACAGCTCAAAGAGTAGGAAGGAGCCTTTTCAAATGTAACACTGAACCATTGCACTCTCTTAAGGTGCCAGGTATAGAAGGGAGAATGATAGATATGACAGATGCCTTATGGAAATGGTCTACAAAACTTTTCTTCTTCGAAATAATGAAACACACAGCATGGTTTTCTCCCCTCCCTCTTTCTTCCTACCCCCTGCTAGTTTTTAGGAGAATACTTCTCTAAAATTCATTTTTTCTATTTTGGAATAAATCATCTTTATATAGGAATTCAATCATTGATGTCCATTAACCTTTGTCACTGAGTTTTCTTCTAACACGGAAGAGTTCATTTTGAGAGGCGCTCAGTTACCATTCTATCTATGTTGTAAGTATGGGACTTTGTACAAAATGCCCTTTTTGAGGGCCAACAATTTCAATACACTTTGTTTTACTCTGTGAACCAGGTCTGGATCTGCACAGGGAAAGTAATGCCGAGCTGTCCAAAGAGCCCTGCTCAGGTCTCCTCCTAACCTTTTTCTGCCTTCCCCAAGTTTGCTTCTCCTCAGGTCTGATACTGAGGAGTGCATAGTCTTCAACTGAAAAGGCACTAGTTAGTTATCATTGGAAACCAAACCAGTACATTTCTGGAACCTGCTTATCTAAAGTAGTCAATGCCTTTGTAAAGACTTAGCACATTCAATATCTATTGTATTATAGCTAGCTATATACATAGGCAGATTGACTATTTTTAGTCCTGGTTTGTGTATCATTGAGCTATAGTAGTTTGCTTTATCCATTTGTGGGATTAAACAATACTGTTTAATGGTTGTAAACTTTTATAAAACCTCTTTGGGTTTCTTGTTTGACCCAAACATAATGTAAGTCTCAATGACAAAATACACAGAGCCAACAAGAGGTGAGTGAAATATATCCCTTCCCCAGTTTTGTCTGCCCCTATAATGCATGTGCAGTGCTTCATAATATGTTCTCATTAGCATGAATATGCTATGACTATTTCATAAGGTTTCAATTTGTTTCACCTATAATTGTGATGGAAAATGCTATATTGTTGACAACAATGAACTGTAACCACTCTTATTTATTGCATAAACTATTTGTCTATTAATCACTAAGGACTCTTTCTTTAAGAACATTAACGACAAAAACCATATCACATATACATATGTATGTATATATTCCAGTTTGTTCGTAAAGTATGAAATTTCTGTCCCTGTGACCTGCATCTTGAGATGCATCTGATTTTTACCACAGTAAGCATGGTCCCTCTAACTGTGGAAGTCCAACACAGTTCCTAGACTAACACTAGATTATATGCTATTTGTTTAAATAACCATGCTGTTTCTCAAGTCCTTCAGACTTTGCCCTTCCTTTACTCCTTATTCTTATTAGTAAAGTTTTGTCATTGAAGACCCAATACTAATATCACCCCCTCAAACAAGCTTTTCATAGGGCAGTGCTGGCTTCTACTGCTGGGTTAAAAGCAGGCTCAGCTCAGACTTATTTCTGTATATTGCCTATAGTTTCTCCCTGAATTGCTTCACATCCTCAGAGACATCATCTACTGAGCCTTAACCAGAATATCAGAGCCAAAGGGGGCAAATCACCTAACTGAAGGAGCTCAGGTGCATCAACCTCTTCTCAGGATATTGTGCAGAAAATGAGACTTCAAGAGCACTGAAGAGATTTGACGGAGGATGAACAAGAATCAGTAGTAAATGGCAGGACCAGATATCCACAAACTAATAACTTCCAAGCCACTAAGCCCTTGGTAACAGGTTGTCCTCTCTTCCTTCAGGCCTTCCTGGTGCCTCCTACCCATTCCCCATCCCACCCCAGGTCAGTCTCATTCTAAATGCAGAGGTGACTACAAGTGCTACAGTGGAGCCCAGCACTAGGGGTCTTTGCAAGGGACTATTGGTGAATTCGAAAATCTCGTTTTAAAATCATACTCCATGAAAATAAGAGTACAACTTTCCCCAGCCTCTTTTTTGTTTGTTTGTTGCTGCCTCCTCTAACATTCCTCAGGCATACCTGTATCAAGTTCTTAGTACCAAATAATAGCCTGACCTATACGTAGCTAGAAGAGGAAGAAAGAGTTCCTGTCCTGAGGAACTTTAACTCTGGTGGGGGAATGAAGTATGCTCAAAGAATAAATTAATACATAAAGACTTCCTGAGCAAGGTAGGGAGGGTGGAGCTGATTAAACCACAATATATGCATGTTTGGAAATGTCACATTGAAACCTATTAATTGGTAAAATTAATATGGCTCAATAATTATTTTAAAAAAGATTTTCTCAGAGGAGAGTGGCAGCATGAATATGGGAAGACTTAAAAACAATAAGAATTCCAAGAGGGGACAATTCAATGTTCAGTGCTTCTTCCCTAATCACACGTGGAAAATCAACTGATCTGGCCAAATCACTTTCTAGATCACCTTTCTGGCCTCATGACCTACCAAGCCACATCGCCATGTTCCAATTATCCTGGACCCTGCTATAGTGTCCCAACCATGCTGTTTCTCAAGTCCTTCAGACTTTGCCCTTCCTTTACTCATTATTCTTATTAGTAAAGTTCTGCCATTGAAAACCCAATACTAATATCACCCCCTCAAACAAGCTTTTCCACCTCCTGGTCCAGACATTTTAATCCTTTCACAGAGGGCCTTGCAGGACTCTTGAACAGTAATATTTTAGCAATTATCACTTCATTGCAAATTTTGTTGGAACACAGTCTATACCATAAAATGGGGGGTAAGAAACATATTCATCTATAACAATTTATTTCCTGCTGGATGGGGTCTCTCAATTCTGTTGTTGACTAATCTATGCTCCATTTCCTTGACACACATCACTGTTAAATGGATGCAGTTCAAAGACTTTTCTAATCAGTCTCTGATCTCTAATTAGAAGGAAAAGGTCCAAGAGCATTAGACTAAGTTTGTTTCATGGCAACTGCATACCCCCACCCCAACATCCACCATGTGAAGTCCTTCAACCTGACCTCTTAACTCCCAGGTTTAAGAAAGACAACTCTCTCTGGACCTGCATTAGAAATGAACTCATGCAATCTGATCCTTATCTTTAGACGAGTCTTTGAGGGCCAGAGGAAAGCATTATCCAGCATTCTATGGGGACTTGAGACCTGAGTTCAAGACTCACTAACCCTGGCATAAATCCACACCACTCACACATAAAAAGCATGATACATATTAGAGAGCACTTTCAATCCTACTGTGTTTTGACATTTACAAGTCCATAAGGCAAATACTACCCTTCCTCTACAGATGAAGAAACTATAATCAAAGGTTGCTCTCATTAAGCAGTGGAGCTTGCCTGGAACCCAGATCTTTGAGCAGCTTTTTCCCCTTTCCAACTATATCTGAAACTTTTGTGTACATCAGAATTACCTGAAGGATCTGTCAAACTACAGAGATTGTACCCTCAACCTTTCTGATTCAAAAGATCAGGAGTGGGGTCCAAATACTTTCATTCCTAACAAAAACCCAGATGATGCTGACATTGTTTTTAAAAAAAAAACTGATCTATACCAACCTAGTAACTGCTTTATGGCCATGGGCAAATAATTTCCCCTTCTATCTCAATGCACTTAAAATGAGGAGGCTAGACTAGAACCATGATTTCCAAACCTTATTATAACAACAAAGCCATCTTTCAAAAATAATAACATGTAGAATCCAAATACATACCATAGTAAATAAAGTCAGGACTCTGATGAAGCAGTGGTGGGGAAACTGAGAACTCACAGCACCCATTTCCCCAGATGCTGAGATACCTAACAGAATACATTTTCAAATCCCTTTCTTAGATGGTACTTGAGGGCTCTTTTACCTATGACATTCCAGTATACTAGAAAACTTAGCCCTTGCTATAGTGAGGAAAGAGAAACTTTGCATTAACCAGTATACAAGACTGCACTGCCCATATCTAGTTCTTGGGTCCATACAGGAAAGGAAAGCTTAACTCTGTTGGGTTGGTAGATTCATGGACCCTTTGACCATCTGTGGACTAGCTCACTAGAAAAATGACAATATACACATACACACCAAGATTATTTAGTTTATCCTTTCAGATGTTATGGACTCTCTAGGGATCCCAATTCAGGTTAAAACCTTTATTGAAGAGCTGGAGCTTAGTGTTATAGAGTGCTCCCCTAGCACACACACATGAGACCTTGGGTTGAATCCTGAACACCTGGAGTGCTATGGAACCTTGATTTCACTCTGGTAACTGCATTTCCATCAAATCCTTCCTTGGAATTTTCAGAGTGTTAAGTCTTCTCCTTCATCATTTCTTGCCACGGGAACTTGCAGATATCACTTAAGGTGTCAGATTATCACTTGGTAACTTTCCTTCCTCACCAAACTAAAGGTTCCAAGGGTTGAGAACATAGTTTATTTGTCACCTATCTCTTGGCAGCTCAGGGCTAACACAGGGTAGGCACTGAGGAGAGAGTGTGAGATGAGGACCCTAAGGTGACCACAAAGAAGGGGCTCTGGATCGATCCCTAAGGCATTACTCTAGTTCCAGTGCCCACCACAGGGAAGTCCACTCTATCTTTTCTAGGTAAAAGGATAATCTCTGGCTTTCAACTACTGCTTGGTGCCTAGTGAGGGCAAGATGAGAAAACCTGGATCTCCTTCCCACTGTCAATAAGGCTTTGAGCAAACCCAGCCTCAACAAACACATTTCATTTGCTGGGTAGACTCTGTGGCCAGCAATGCCTCTCCTCTGAGGCCTAATGCTTCAAAGTCAGCTGACTCCACACTAAAGCTGAGTGGTGCAGAAATGGTCAAAGGAACCAGGCAGAAGGTATGGGTGGAGTCTGGCTGTGGAAGCAATCAGAGCCAGTGGACTCAAAGAGAATCCAGCTCCTGCTCAAACCCTAGTTATTAGTCCACCTTCTCTGGAGTCCCCAATAGTAAAGGAAGAACTATTCTAGTCTGTTCCAACACATCCTCCCTCATCTCACAAACACCAAAACTACAGTTGCCTGTTTATTGTTTTTCAAAACAAAGCAAAATAAAAAGGGGAAAAACGTTCAAAATTCCATTCTGGTGGAAAGATGAGTTGCCATGACTGATTCAGGCTGTCTCCCAATTGTATCATGGAACATCAGGTGGACTCTGGGGTGGGCTGTTGTCCTGGCAGGGATGGATGAACACTTGCATCAAGGCTGGCATCAGAAGAGCTGCAGGCCAGTTTTGAGCCCATGCAGCTGCCCCTGGCTCCAGAGAAGGCCCTCAAAATTGGTGCTGCTATTGCTGCAGTTGCCACTGCCAACACCACAGCTTAGGCCCAGGGTGCTGTGGAAAGAGTGGGGGGATCAGTGAGGAAAGAAGGCACTTTAGGCTCCTAGAGGAGCTAAGAGTGCCTGATATGTATGTGCATGTCTATGAGAAGGGCCCACCCTCCAGCCTGGCTTTTTATACAAAAGACTGGAGCAAATCTAAAAAGTTATTTCAGTTGGGCTCCAGGGGTGATTTTTGCCCTCTCCACAGTTGAGGGAGGGAGGGAGGGAAGGAAGATTAAACTTTTCAAAGAAAACACTATAGAAAACCCAGTACATAAAGCAGACTAAAGCCCACAGAGAGCTGTCTGGGTTAAGGGAAGGGGTCCCACACAACTCTACCCCCAGGAAAATAATGAAGTGGCTGCCTTAACAGGGCCTCCTTTCCAAATTCCTGAAGCTTGGGGACCCAGAAGACTCTGTGCTGGATCCCTCCCACATATAATAGCTGGTTAAAGGGCCCAAGGCCAGGCTTGGTCTTTAGGGACAAGCCCAGCACCCATCCCATAATTGCAAGACTGCCTGAGGGAGATAACTGCCCTCCTTCTCCCTGGCCCAGCTCAAAACACCCTTGCTTCCCCTGCTTCTTGCAGGTCAAAGGTCCTTCCAGCTGGATGAGGTGACAGCTGAGAACAAAGCCATCATCCTTCCCCTCAGGCAGATCCATGGTTATACTACTGCAGCTGAAAAAACCCTTAGAGATGATCTAGTCCCATCCCTCCCATCACCCACAATTTTACAGACAAGGAAACTGAGGTCCAGAGATGAGAAATGACTTGCCCAAGGCCACATAGCCAAG